TGTCTGGTCTAGTAACGGTAAGATAAATCAATCGTCCAACCAATCTTCGATACAAAGATGGGTCTTTGAGCAATTCACCTTTATCTGAAAGTTTGTTTTCCTCCATTGGAAATCCTACTGGTTTTGCACCCAAAAGGGCGCAATCCTTGATTATTTCAAGGGCATATTTTCTTTGTGAAATACATAGTCCTTTTTTTGAACGAGAAACTTCAATACCCAGAAAATATTTCAGATTGCCAAGATCCTTAATACGAAAGCGAGTATGAAGAAACCGTTTGAGAGCATTAATGGTATCTAAATTGTTGCCCGTAATAATAATATCATCAACGTAAATCAACAAAGCTGTGAAGGAAGTACCGTTCTTTTGGGTGAAGAGAGAATAATCTGCTTTGGACTGAGTAAAGCCAGCGGCAAGGATAGCTTCTGTGAATTTTGCAAACCACTGTCGAGAGGCTTGCTTGAGACCATATAAGGACTTGTTGAGGCGGCATACAAGGTTCTCCCCCTGACGCCGAAGACCAGGAGGGGGGGACATGTAAATTTCTTCCTGAAGGTCGCCATGAAGAAAGGCATTATGAACATCAAATTGTTGAAGAGACCACCCTTGACCAGCGGCAAGAGCAAGTAGACAACGAACTGTGATCATTTTGGCGGTGGGAGAGAAGGTATCATGATAGTCAATCCCCTCGGCTTGAGTGAATCCTTTGGCCACTAAACGAGCTTTGTAACGCTCGATAGAACCATCAGCATTATGCTTGATTTTGTAGACCCACCGACAATCAATGGGACGCTTGCCGGGAGGAAGCGGAGTAAGAGTCCAGGTATTGTTGGAAGAAAGTGCCTCAAGTTCGGAATCCATAGCTGCGCGCCAATGAGGGTCTTGAAGAGCCTCTGCAAAAGAAGAAGGTTCTACACTTCGACTAATGTGAGCAACAAAAGAAAGATGCAATGGTGAATATCTGTGATAGGATATAGAATTACAAATGGGATAACGAGTACCTTTGGTGGAACCGGATGACGAAGGCGACGAAGATTGGAGTGGGGGCAGCATCACCTGCGAGCAAACGTAGTCACGGAGACGAACATTGGGCTCCCTGTGGCGTGTGGAAAATCGGGTGGGTTGAGTAGAAATAGGAAGGGCAGGGGTGGGGTCCGTGGGGGGGTCCGTGGGAGATTGTGAGGATGAGGCAGACGGTGGGGATGGGTCAAGGGATGGGTCAAGCGGTGTGGAAGTGTGGGGGACAATATCTAGTGGAGTAGTGGTGGAATGGTCAAGGGTGATGGGATCAAGGGGGACGGGTAAAGGTGTGGGATTGGGTAAATCGGATAAGGGAGGGGAGGGTGCAGCGGTGGTGGATGGATCGAAAGGAAATGTGTCTTCAAGAAAAATAACATCCCGATTGGTGAAAAGTTTATGTGTCTCAAGATCATAAAGCTTATAAGCCTTTTGACCGGGGGGATAACCAAGAAAAACACATCGATGAGCCCTCGGAGAGAACTTGGAGGAAGGATGGACAGACGTGGCATAGGCAAGACAACCGAAAACACGCATATGGGAATAAGAAGGTGGTTTGTGGTATAGTATCTCAAAGGGTGATTTTCGGGAGAGTAATGGTGTAGGGAGACGGTTTATGAGATAAGTGGCGGTGAGAATACACTCCCCCCAAAACTTAACTGGTAAATGAGACTGAAAACGCAAAGCTCGGGCAGTTTCTAGGATGTGGCGATGCTTGCGTTCTACAACACCATTTTGTTGTGGTGTGTAAACACAAGAGTGTTGATAAATGATCCCATTGTCAGAGAAGAAATCTCGCATGGAATAAAACTCACCCCCATTATCGACTCGAATTTGTTTGATTTTGGTGTGAAATTGAGTTTCAATGTAAGCAAAAAAAGTTTTGAGGGTAGGTTGTGTTTCATGCTTGTGTCGCATTAAGAAAACCCAGGTGAAACGAGAAAAATCATCAACAATAGTTAAGAAATAATGAGCACCAGTAAAGGAGGCAGTCTTATGAGGACCCCAAATGTCACAATGCAAAAGTTCAAAAAAACTAGAAGTTGAAATGGAGCTACGACTAAAAGGTTGGCGAGTTTGTTTCGCCAACGGACAAACATGACAACGATGACTTGAATCAAAAGGAAAATTTAAGGTTTTATTTGCTAAATATTGTAGACGCCCAAGAGACGGATGCCCCAGACGGCGGTGCCAAAGGTCAGCAGAAACGGTAATGAGGTGACAGGAGGGTTGGTTCTGCAGAGAGGAAGTAGAAGCCAACGCCACAAGGTAATAGAGATTGCCCCGTCGCTTACCAACACCAATCGTCACCTTCGAAATCAGGTCCTGTAAAATGCACCAAGAGGGAAAAAAAATCACTGAACAATGTAACCCATCTGTAATCTTTCCAACAGATAATAAATCAACTTGGAAAGAAGGCACGCATAGAACATCTTTCAATTGTAGTAAATCACTTAATTGAATATTGCCAATCGAAGTAATAGAAGCCTTCTCTCCGCTAGGCAGTGAGACAGGCGGCAAAGAGGTATTGTTAATTGAATTTGTCAATAAACTAGACGAGCAAGTGATGTGATCCGTTGCTCCGCTGTCGATGATCCATCGACCGGGAACAAGCGGAGACAAACCTGAGGATGGTGGAGAAGTGAGAGCGGCATGGGCTTGTGGTGCTTCATTCTCAGCTTGTGGTTTGTCATTCTTGGAAGTCAAGGCAGAAAAGATGTCTGCATATTGTTTCTCGGACAGGTTGGGCACGGCAGCTTGAAGATCCTTGATGGTGGGAGTAGAAGCAACGTGATGAGCAGAAGAACTTCCACGAGAGAAGCCGCTGCCACCACCATTTTGTTTGGAGTTGCGTGTCTTGTTGGGATTGTGACGGGGATGATCCGGTGGATAACCATTCTTCTGCCAACAAGTCTCAACGGTATGATACTTAGCGTCGCAGTAAGAGCAGTGAAGAGGAGGTCGACTGTTGCTGCTAGTCTGCGACTGTTGGTGCTGCTTCTTGTAAGGTTGCTGCTGATGGCGAACCGCCATGGCTGCTGGTTCAGTTAGACTGCGGGATCCAGTGCCTAACTCCCGTTGCTTTTCTTCTTGGATGATCGAGGAATACGCTTGTCGGTAGGAGGGAAGTGGATTCATTAATAGGATTTGTCCACGAATAGCACTGTAAGACTCATTCAATCCCATAAGGAACTGCATAAGTCTATTGGTTTCATGTTGTGCGCCACAAGTGCAGATTGTTGAAGAACTATATGATGCTAACTCATCCCAAAGACCCTTCAATTTCGTGTAATAAGCAGCCACAGATTGTTGGCCTTGGGTGAGAGAGGCAATCTCTCTTTGAAGCTGAAAAATTCGTGGAGCATTGCTTTGAGAAAATCTTTCCCGAAGATCTTCCCAAACTTCATAGGCTGTCTTCAAGTAAAGAATTGAATCTGAAATATCAGATTCAATGGAGTTGATGATCCATGCAAGTAGCATGTTATTGCACCTCTGCCATGCGGCGTAAGCATCGGGTTGCTTTGTTTCAGATGGCATGTTCACCTTGCCGTTAATAAAACCAATTTTGTTCTTGGCACCTAAAGAAATCTCCATAGCTCGGCACCAAGTGTTGTAGTTGTCCCCAGTCAATTTTTTGGAGACTAAAATCAAACCAGGATGATCTGAAGGATGAAGAAAATAAGGGTCGGCAAAACTCTCGCCGTCGCCCTTCTTGATAATGGTGTTGTCGCTGTCAGCCATGGAGAAGGAGGACAACGAACGATAAAAAAAAAGTTCTGGTGGTTTCGGCGGAGAAAAGAGCTAGGGTTTGGAACCTGCTCTGGATACCATGTAAAAACTGTATTTAGCCAGAATAATACTTTCATTGATAGAAGGTTCAATATATACAATCCCTTTCCTTGTACAACAAGAAGACCTAGAAACTAGGAATACGATAACAGAAAGTATCAATTACAAGTCAATTAAATAAAACATTCCTATCTAGTTACAATGACTTTCTAACAGTCCTGGGATGTCTGAATTTTATCGTTCATTGTCGGTTTTTTAATTTTTTTTTTGTCCTTGTTTGTTTATTTAATATTTTGTGTTTGTGCTGGGATGCCGGTTTGCAAGTTCTCTTTCCATTGGGACCGCTGCATTTTTAAAGTGTTGAGGGTGAGATTTAGATACCCAAAACACTTTTTTTTTTTTTTTTTTTTTTTTTCTCTTTTTCCCAAATATGCGCATTTGGTTCTCTTCGGTTTTAAATGTTTAAAATTAAATGGTTATTTGGATAAAATGGTTTATTAGTTTATCTTATGTGTTGTGACCAGGAATTCAATTGGATTGGGTAAAATGCTATATCAATTTACGTTATAGGGAATTTTGTGTATTATGGTCTGTGAGTTTTATTGCTCATCGTTTGTTCTTTTTTCTTTGTTTGCTGGTTTCTTTTGCAAGGGATCACTACGGTTTGGGCATCTTTTTGAGTTTTAAATTGATTGAGGGTAAGATTTAGATAACAAAATTCGAAAGGAGCCATTACTTTTCTTTTTGGAAACTAATTTAAAAGCTGTGCATAGATAGTTATCTATTGAAATGTCTTGATAAAGTAGATTTACCAAATTGGAAATATCAAAGTTGTCAAAAATCAGTGATGACAAAATGTTAAAGTGCTGAGAAAACAATGTTTGCATTAATTAAATGATAACATACCATTTTAAGAACCATGATTAATGCAACCCAATTGTAGTAATGATTCTTCCAACATAACTTATTTTGATGAAATTCTGATAGAATCAACGAAAATGACCACACCTGCACATTTTGATGAGTTCAAAGATTAATGGTCATAAATTTTTAGTTAAGGTATCATTGCTCTAATTGGAATAAAATTGTGGAACCATTGCTACAATTTTCTCTGATGAGTTAAGAGATTAATGGTTATGAATTTTTAGTTGAGTTATCATTGCTCTAATTGGAATAAAATTATGAAACTATTGATACAATTTTCTCTTAGTTTAATATACGTCATTTGAAGGGAATAAGCTTTTGAATTTTACATTATTCCTTTAAATAAAAATCACGTTGAATTTGTTTACCGATGTCGTTCTAAACATATGTGCAAGGACCAGTTGTATTTAAAACTTGCTAATGGCGCTTCTGGAGGCTAAGAAGGTTGCATCCCAGGATCAAAAGGAAGCAGAGAAGTGCAGTTCAGGGATGGAAACATGTGAAGAAGCAAGGGTGAAAGCTGAAGCAACATTAGAGGCACAGCGGAAACAGACTGCACGTGCTGCCTCTTCCGTTCTGATTTGAAGAAGATTTCTCAAGCGGCTATAATTTCATGGCAGGTTGGTTTAAAGCAATTCCAAAAGTTGGGATCGTTTGGGATATTTTTAGGCTTTTCTGATTCTTGAAAAAACCATGGTTAAGAGTGAATTCATTATATTTTAATTTTTATTGAATTCAGGTAACCATCTTCAGTTTTTTCGGTTTGATTTAAAGGAATTTTTTAGGCAGAAAAGCTAGGGCTTTCCTGTGAGTTCTTCGGGTTGTACATCTGGGTGGCTTTAATTTGTTTAAATTTGGGGCTTTTGTGATTTGGGACTTCTAAATGGTTTGAAATTTACGTTTTTCTAATTTCAGTTCCCACTCAGAAGTCTGTACTGCCTCATCATTAGAACTGTTTCCATCTGCTCTTCTTCTCGAAACAAGGTCGCAGATCCACAGGCCATAAAGGTATGTCATTTAATTATATATTGTATATGTATGTGTGTAAATGCTTTTTTCTCTGTTAATCTGTATTGGTTTTCTTCTGATTTAGTTAATGGAGTTTGTTTTTATTTCAGATAATTTGGTTCATGCTAAAGTTATTGAACGTACGATGGAACCAGTGATCTTTCAAAAAGGTTGGTTCTTCTATATTTTTATCCTTTTGGTCGCTTTGAATGGACTTCCTGTATTCTAACTGAAGCTAAATTGAATAGCTGTTTTTGTATACTGTATTTGCTTTGTTAAATTAGTTCTTTTTTGTTGAAAAATGTTATTTGGTCTTGCAGGTCAAAGTTTTTCAGCAAGAAAATTATCTGTCAAAATTAAATTTAGATATGAATACTTACATTTATTTAGCATTTTCAATTTGTTTTTAGTTTTTGTATTGTGGTTGTAAATTTCATTTAGTGCATTGTGGTCTTAATTTAATTGCGTGGTTAGTTTTAGGATTTCTTGAGTCGAATAACAACCTGGGTGATCAAAAGGAAAAGAACCATTTAGTCTCTGCTTGCAAGATGATTTCTTTTCATGCCTGTCCTCCCTCTACTTGAAATGTTTGTTTCAAATAGGGTTTGGTTTCAGGAGACGGTGGTTTTTCGGATTTTGAGTCTTTTTGTTTCCAGGCTGCGAAGCCCTGTGTGCTCAAGGTGAGCAATTTCAATTTCTAGGGTTATTGAATTAAGAGTTTTGTTTAGTTTTTCATTATTTTGGACTTGAGTTTGGTATTTTGTTTAGGTTTTATTATATTAATTATCATAAGCTTCTTTGAGATTACAAGATGTTATTGTTGGATTTTATCTGTTATTGTTATTTGATTTATTGAGTTAATTTGCTTCTGCTAATAATCCCTATTTGTCAGGGAACATGGTTAGTGTTTGACCTAATCTTTAGGAGAATCCCAATAGTCTAGGGTTGTTGGACGTGGGATATTTTGTTGCTTATTTTTCTGATTGCTTGTTTCCTGAATGGCTATTTATGCCGGTGTTTTGAGTCATTGAATAAGAAGAACATTCTCTCAGACTTTTGCACTCGTTACCTTTCAAAGTTCTAGTTCTTAACAGTTATTGGACACATTACTGCAATAGAACAAAAAGTGGCTGATTAGCAGGCTTGAAAACAAGTGTGAAATTACATTTCAAATATTAGGTAAAAGCATGTTAACAAATCATCTTCAAAAGTTGTAAATACAATATAATTATGATTAATGTTTCGTTTTTGGTACTTCCCTAATCCTGTGATTGAGTGCAGGGTATAGCTGAAACTGGAAAAGCTTATGTACACGACTTTCTTTATGTTAACGGCAGACCAGTTCTCATAGTGGATGCTTCTAAGCATCTTTCTGCTGTAAGTTTCATATTTTTCACCATGTCCAACTCCATACCAAATAATCTTAATATTCTTGAGGTGTTGCATACAAATTTTTATCAACAAAATAGTGTTAGTTTTTACGTCGTTTCGAAAATTAGTATCAATTTTTTGCTGCGCTTGCCTTAGATCAAGTTTTGTTTGGTACTTTGGTCACTGAACAAGAATGAGAAGCTCTGCGTATTTTTAATTGAGAAGGCGTTGGGTGCCCGCCCAGAAGGGAGCAGAGAAATACTAGGAATCTTCAATCTATGTTGGGTCCAGCAAAGGTAACAGGCATACAAAAGATTTTTTTTTCTACTTACATTGAAAATTATTTTGTAAGTAATGGATATGGACGTTCTTTTAGACATTCAAGCTGTGGGTTTTCAAACTCTACAAAACATTTTTTATTTTACTCGAATCAGTCTCCAAGGAGGAGAAAGAGGAGGATCGGAATGGAAAGCAAGGCACAACATCGAACAAGTAATCTTCCTTTTTGACATTTATTTTTATTTATTTAAACTTAACACCACTTAATAGAAAACTAAACTTTAATTAGACAAAGAGGAAGAGGAAGCATAGGAGTTTGTCACTACTCCAATGATTTGTCGGTAAAATCCTCAAACCCAATTCTCAATTTTCAGTTTTTATTTTTTATTTTTTATTTTTTATTTTGATTCTCACATCAATTAATTCCAGTAATGTTAGGGCTGAATTTTTTAGGTTAGTGATTTTTTCGCACATAACTTTTCTTTCTAATCATTTTGGGTGAAATAAATAGATATGGGTCTTCAATAAGTTATTTTTATAGTATCATAGTTTTATTTCACAATTAAATGACATCTTGCTGTTTTTGGTAGGTTTTACTGTGAGCTTATTCGCATTGCATATTTTGTTTACAAATGTTTGGTTTAATGTGGTGGTAATATATGCTATGATTACCACCATAGTCCAACTGATGGATTATTAATTTGGTAAATTATTTCAGATTTAGTCTCTGCTAGGGCTGGGCAAACGGGTCCTGGACCCGCGGTTAGGGGCGGGTCCAAGTGGATCGGGGTGGGTACGGGGCGGGTCCTATTTTTAAAAATCTGAAACGGGGCGGGGCGGGGCGGATCTATGTTATTTGCGGGGCGGGACGGGTCGTAATTACTGAGGAAACGGGTTCCCAACCCGAACCGTTTCCACCTTCCAAAATTTAAGATTTAATCTGATCCATTGATTAAAACCACGATCGCACTCAAGATCAAGAGTCTCTCAGATCAGACTCTCAGTCTCAGACAGTCAGACAGACCTTGACAGTTCCCTTCCCCCACTCCCCAAATCTCCTCTCCTCTCTACTCTCTCGTCTCAGAGTCAGACCTTGATCGCTCGCGCTCCCATCTTTTTCCATCGATTCTCCACTCCACCCCTACTGACTTGACTCGACTCGACTCCTTGAGACTCATAGTGAGTCAGTGACTGTCAACCTTAACTGTGTCTGTCGACATTACATCAATCCTCCCCAATCGCGAGTTTCAACCACCACCACACGGTCGACACCAACCTCGCCGTCGAGAACACTACCATCATCCTGCAAATTCCTAGGTAATTTATGAATTAGGGTTTCTGATTTGGGAATTTAGGGTTTTTGGGGCTATGATTGCATAAGCTTTTCGATTGATTATATGGACTGCTGCGATTTGATTACTAGCAGAAACTTGTTTATTGGTTTTGAATTTTATGGATCTGCTTATAGATTGTAGATTTTAAGTTGTTTGGTTAAATTTGCAGAAATTTAAGTTGTTTGTAGATTTTAAGTTGTTTGGTTAAATACTTTGGTATTTAAATTTGCAGAAAATTTTCAAATTGTTACAATTTTTGAACTAAAATTGGTAATTGAAGCTGCAATCTTAATGCATGTAAGTCAAAGCCGATAGTTAAGAACTTAAGAGTTAAGAGTATTTAATAGCTTCTTCTGGGTTTAAACTTTAAAGAGGTTGTTTTAGACATTTAATTTATGGGTTTTGTTTTAGACACTTCTGAATTCTGATTGCATTTTCAGATTTTCTTGCATTGTTGCATTTCCAAGAATATTATATGTATTTTCTTGATTGTTTGGGAATTGGTTTCAGATTCCAGAGCCACTTATTACTGAGAAAGTTTGGAAATTAGAAGATTTTGAATCATATCCTGCTTGCTTACTGGTGAGTTCTTGGTTTGGATGGTTATTTTTGTTTGATTTTCTTATTCTTGATTCATTCATCCTTTCATCTACTTTAACAAAAATTGAGAACTAAAACACGAAATGGTTATCAAACGTTCTCTAAGTAATCAAGGGTTTTAGAGGTTGATGGTTATGTGTTTGAAGTGTCATATGAAATGCAATTTGAGTGCACATTTCAATGCCTTGGTTGCACTATTCTCTCCTAACTTAGGTGCGTAATTTTCTGACTTTTCAGAGAGACAGAATCGTGTTGCTGTTGTGGTGAAGGCTACTGGGGAAAGCTCCGAGTCTTCAACATCTATTGTGAAATCTGTTCAGAATGTGGTAAGCTCTTTCCCTCTGCGCTTTCATGATTAAATTTTTATATTTATGATTTGTGCTCAGTACATAAAGAACTATAGAGGGTTTCACGTTATGCTTTGGCTAGCCTGAATCTGCAGGCAATATTTCCTTTCCTCTTTTGATTCCTCTAATGGTTTTCAATTGTGTGCAAAGTTTATGAATTCCCCCTTCAATAAATTTCAAAAAAGCGTGCATTTTTCTTAGCTATGAGAATGGGCTGTGATATGGATAACACACGATTTTGTTTTTTAGCCAACTTTTGGTCCTAAGAATTTGTCATTCTATGGAATGAAGAAATGCATGCAATATTTTCTTTCTTCTTCATTCGACAGATTGACAAGTTAATTTTGATCTTTTTTTTTTTTTTTTTTAATATCAGGCTTACTATTTCCTTACTCTCGCTTTGATTTGAAACAGTGGGATAATTCTGAAGATCGGCCAGCTCTTGTTGCTTTGGGGTTTGCAGCTGTAGTAGGTTTATGGGCATCAATGAATTTGATTACAGTAATTTTCTTATCTCTCTGTTCTTTTCAGTTCTTGAAAGGAATGAAAAGTGTTGTTGCAATAGTTGATACGAGCTTGTATGTACTAATACCAACTATCAACATCTGGTACTTTCTGTGGCATTCATATGTAGGGACCAAGTTACACTGTCAAAGCTTAAAACTTCTTAAATTTTTAGATTAATTAACATGCACAATATGGAGAACAACCAAAAAAAAAAAAAAAAAAAGGGACCCGCGGACCCGGCCCGAACTTACCCGTTTCAACCGGGCCAGGTAATGTCTGGTTCTAATATTAAAAAATGTAATCCCCGGCCCGGCCCGCCCCGTTCCCTTTGAACCTAGGTCTGGTCCGGTCCCTTCAAAATTGGGCCCCGGCCCGGCCCGTGCCCAGCCCTAGTCTCTGCAAATCTTATGAAGTCTAATATTAAATTGTGAAAGTTGGATTGTGGCTTAGTTGGTTCTACTTTCGCATTTCCTCTTCATTAAAATGTTTACTTACCTGCTTTTAAGCGTCCTTATTTATGTATCTATTTTTTAAAATGAATTTTAAAGATGTTATAGAAATTGGAAAGAGTAGCAGTTTGAGAACATAGTATGGGAACTTTGGGAAGGAATACTCGAAGGAAGACCGACAATGGGTTAGCGGTAACTCCTTTTTTAAATCATATTCTATTCTGTAATATTACACTATTGCGTCTGGAATGGCAACATTTATTTGGTGTCACCTAGAAAGTTTGTTGTATTATGTTTATGTTTTTTTAAGTTGGAGATTTTGTAGGTAGCCAGTTCGAGGAAATGCCCTCGGTTTCTAATTACCGAGCTAAAGTCCATGCTCTATCACCAAAGTAGAAATGATTGCTATTTTGTTCAAGTTTGTGTTAAATAAAAATGAATAGGGTTATAATTAGGACAGCATCTCTCACCACTTACATTTACTTTGCCACATTGTAGGGGTGGGCACTTGGAACCGAAAACCGATATCGAAACACGAACCAAATCGAACCGCACCTAACGGTTTGGTTTTGCGGTTTTGAAACCGAATCGCAACATAGAAAACAGTTTGGTTTTGGTTTTGGTTTTTGAAAACCGCACCGAAATCGAACCGCATCGCAAATATTAATAAATATTTAATTAAATGTCCATATTAGATTTCATGTTTTAATTGGTTGTTTGTTAAAATTTATACACTAGTATGGACTCAACCACACTAGAATATCATCATTCATCACTTTCTTTCGTTCATTAACTTGAAGGACATTTGTTATTTTATACCATCACACACACATATATGTACAAGGGTGGACTATTCTTGTTATCAAGAGTCGAACAATGATCTAATGAAGTCCACTCATTTGAAGCATGATATCACATATTCTAGTATGAAAGTTTCACTCACATTTAATGAATTCAAATTTATTCAACTTGTTTTATGATAAACATTGTAAAGGAGACCCTTTTGTTGCACAAACATGTTTTAACATCACAACTGCATGCAACATGCTAATTGTTTACATAACAAATGTCGTTTTCCTATTGCTATTGGGAAATGCTAATTAATATGTTAAATTGCAAATTGTACATTTTTTCTTAAAAACCAAATCAAAACCGTTTGAAACCGTACCGAATCAAACCAAATTGTTTTGTTTCATATCGGTTTTGGCTTCAAAACCGCACCAAACCGAACCGCAAAAAATTTTGGGTTTGGTTTCGGTTTCACTCAAAACCGCACCAAACCAAACTGTGCCCACCCCTACCACATTGATATTTTTGTATTTTATTATCTAATTATAAAAAGTTTACTTTTGTTGTATTTGTTCTATGGAGCGAATAAAGTTGCATAATTTTTCATACAGTTTTCCATCCCGTAGGGTACAATTTTTAGTTATAGATACTAAAACTCAGTTGAGTCTGGCACAGTTCATCAATAGTGACAGGACGGAAATGCCCTTGATTTCTTCTCTGCTTGCCGTGCTGTTTTCACTTTTCTATAGTCAAAAGTTGGTTTTGCCCATTTGATCCATGCGTTGATCATCGCTGGGTTCTCTCTTTCGACTGTGTTGCTTGCTTTACCTTTCATTTTCACTTTTCTGTTTCGCAACTCTCTCACAAATCTCTTATTCTATCGCGCTCGATCTCACCCTCCCTTGCTTTCCAACCGTGCGTTCTTTCTCTCACAACATACCCACAAAGGAGACCCTGGTTTTTGTTGTCCTAGGAATTTTATTTGCGGCTTCCATATTCAGAGGAAGAGTTGATCCTTGGAAACCCAGATTTCTCAACGTTTTGTCAAAACCCTCAAATTTGTTTCGACCGTTTTATCTCGATCACACAATCGTCGGCGCAAGACTTTGAGAATATTGGTCTTTATTTTCGTCTCCAACCCTGGAGTTCGGACTGGCTTTCCGAAAATTTTTTAGTCCAATTTGGGCACACCATGCCTTGAAATCACGACCAGGTACATCGTCTGGAAATTATATATAAGTTTTTATTTCGAATTTGTGTTGATTCGAACGAAATCTTAACAGCTTCGCTTTCAGGCCTGTTGAATCACTCACTCTCCTCTTTGTATGTGTGTTAATTTGCATTTTGCAGTAATTGAATTCTCAATTGGATTCTTTTGTTTCAGAGGCTCCCCAACTCATCTTTTAATACAATCGCCTACCTGGTCTTTGTCAAACACTACAATTAATTTCAATCTGTTATTAATCCTTTTGTTAAATTTAAATCAAGACTATAGATAAATATTTATATTTTATGTGCAAATACATATATGATACTGTCTATACAGTTTGTATACTGTTGGTAACAATATTGAGTGTTTTTTGTGTGTGTACAGAATGGACAGTGTGTTCATGAATACGAAACATGAGACGTGGTTTACTTCATATGGCAAAGACAGGTTAGTTTGATTGTAATTGCTTTTTTCGTTTGGTTGAATTCGAAGTTGGTCAGCTTGAGGTTAGTGACATGTCACATGTTTACCCTCACACATAGCTGCTATCCTCCTGGCTGATTTCACCTTATGAGCTCATCACCTTGATTATCCCTTAAAGTTTGGAAGACTTGATAATGTCAGAGAGTTTGTATCAGCTATTTTTCGATAAGTATTGCATGTCTTTTGGCGTTACAGTTAGTTACTAGGTATGACTCGACATTTCCTACTTACGCATTTGGGAGTGCCTTTTATGTGCTAAGTTGTTTGGCTGCAACGTACCAAAATGTGTCCTTAAAGAAGGATGAGAATCTTTGTTGATTATGATTCTCATTTGAAATAGCTCTTTACGACTTGCAAGCGATCTCTTTACCATTTATATTATGTGGATTGTCACTTTGATAAGAGAGTCCACCTGAAGTTAGGGGAGATAAGAACGTCAACGTTTTTGAAGAACTGCGCAAACTAAGTGTGGACTTTGCCCACTATGTCTCATCTTGACCTCCTATACCACACAAGTATGATTAGCAAGTGCAATGTATATTAGCTTTCAGAATGTTGCTCCCGACGTATTTCTTTGATCTAGCTAAAGTGGAGTTCATATACCAACTACAAACATACCTGTAAGAATATACATACCTAACATCCCCAAAGGGTGTGCCGCCTCTGAAGGACGGTTGGCGGCCTTGTTGAAAGAAAGAAAAAAGGTGAAAAAGGGCGTATGTGAATCAATTTTGAATGAATTTTATGAATATAGAAAAAAGAATTACAACTTTGATAAGATCCTAACCACAATTGATAAAGGAGGAGGATTCTCTCTCCTCATAATCTCTTTCCCCTTTCCTTCCCTCCTATTTGAACGGTTACGGTTTAGTCACGTCAACATCTTATATTAATTTTTTTTATAGAGACAATAAGACAAAAAACAATATGTGAGAGAAGGGGAGGGAAGGGGATGAGAATAGGGGGAAGAGAATCCTCCTCTGTGATGAAAACCAGAAAACTGAAAAAGTGAGTTTAGTAAGCCGAACCAAATGTTAATCTTCAACACCTTACCCACCCAGATTTACTCTAACTTAAAGGTTCAAAAATCGTAAAAATACTTGAAAAAACTAAAAAGTTAGTATGGAGGCTTTTGATGAACTTAATCACCTTTTTGTTTAAAAATATAGAGAGAAATTAAAGTGAGAAAACTTGAAGAAGATCATCGGTGGGCTATAGGATCTGTATTTTCATGCTAAAAATTCAATTGCCTCAGTCAATAAATTCCGAGCACAGAAGAAGCCTCAAATTGTTGAAAATGCTAGTGGGTAGTGAATGCCCATAGTACTTTGGCAGAAGTTTTCAATGCCTATGCAAAGTGAAATTGAATTTGTAAATGCATAGAGGTTGTATTGTCAAAGGAAGTGCTGTAAACTTCAAGGTGCAGTTAATGCATTAGTTTGGAGTTGCTCTATAAATAGAGCACTCCGTATGCTTTCAATAGATAGAAAAACATACAGACAGAAAGAAAGAAAGATCAATAACATCATCTATTCCACTATATTTATTTGTTATCTTCTTGTGCTATAGTTTTAGTGTGAGATTTTACATCTGCCTCGTACCTATCATTAAAAAGGTTATCTCTCTAACTTTTACATATTTATAACACGTTATCAGCACAAATCTCTAAAATATAATCCTTCTCTCATTTCTCTTCGCCGAACGAAAGAAAGAAAAAATGTTTCCCCTAAGGTTTTTACTGTTTATCTTCTTCCTTTGCCTCAACTGCGCAATATACCCTCTCGACAAACTGTTTGCCCCATGTCTGGTCTTAGTTCTTAACCTAACGGCTACATACATCTTTGATTTCTTATTTGGTGTAGATATTGATTACTAACCCAGTATTTATTTATGTTAATTTTACTGCAATCTAAGATGGTGCGGTACAATCGTCCATCTTGAACTGTAAATTTATTCTTACTGCGATCTAAGACGGTGCGGTATCATCGCATATCTTGGACTGCAGATCTAATTTTACTGCAAATTTTAGGTGAAGCGGTATAATCGCCCACCCTACCCTGCATATTTAAATTTGCCTGCCGTTTAATTTCATTATAATTTTAGGTGGTGCGGTATAATCGCCCACCCTACTCTACGTATTTAAATTTTCCTGCTACTTGAGTGGTACGGAATAATTGCCCATTCTATGTTACATTATTTCAATGAGAATGGTGCGGTACAATCGCCCTCCTTATTCACTCTGAAAATCTCAAGCCAGAAGTTTTAAGTACTTATCATTTTGGCCTGAAGATCAAAATGAAAAATTGGTAAGAACCAGAAGTTCTAACATTATATTCCTCTAGGAATACATATTATTGCAAGTTCTGACACATCTCATTTTCTTTCAGAAAAGAAAATGGCGAACTTGGCGAATCTTGAATTTGCTGCCCTGGATATTACCGAAAAGAATTACCTTACCTGGGTACTAGATACCAAGATCCATCTGGAAGCAAGGAATCTTGGAGATACCATCAGGGAAGAAAGCAGCTCATCTTCTTAAGATTGGGCAAATGCCATGATTTTCATTCGTCACCACCTTGATGAGGCGCTAAAGAGCGAGTACTTAACGGTTGAAGATCCGTTAACTCTCTGGAATGCCTTGAGAAACATATACAATCACTAGACAATGATGATTCTTCTAAGGGCCCGCTATGAGTGAACTCATCTGAGGATCCAGAACTTCAAGTCAGTGGAAGAGTACAATTCTGCGTTGTTCAGAATTACCTCTCAGATGAAGCTCTGTGGGGATACTATTACTAATGAACATTTGCTGGAAAAGACTTTCAGCACATTTCATGCCTCTAACGTGCTCCTGTAGCAGCAGTATATAGCGCGAGGCTACACTGAGTACAACCAGTTGATATCTATGCTCTTAGAAGCTGAATAGAACAATGAGATCCTGATGAAAAACCATTATTCTCGACCTACTGGATCTGCACCATTCCCAGAAGTGAATGCTGCTTCCTCGAAGTGAACGCCACATCCTCTGGTGGTGATAATCATAAACGAGGACGTGACCACAAGTGAGGTCGGTGGAATAGGAAAGGCAAGAACCATAGAGTTCTGTTTCACAACCAGGTTTTAAGGCATAATTCAGGCCCGAGCTTTAAAAATGTGAATCGCCACAAGGGCAAAGCTCATATGAACAATGCTCCCAGGAACTCTGAAAGAGCCTACCATAGGTGTGGTGGCAATGGGCATTGGGCGCGTACTTGTCGTACCCCAAAACATCTAGTGGATCTGTATCAAGCCTCCTCAAGGAGAACAGTGTCGAGACTAATTTCCTCGACCAGGCTAAACCAATAGATATACCTGATCCAGTGTTTGACTTATCAGGGTAGTTGAACACAACCTACCTTGATGTTTCAGACTTTATTGTGGAAAAGGGGAGTGAAGTATACTGGTCGACTAAATCGTTTATGTTTGATGTACTTTTATTATGCTGAAAACTAGCATTTCAATTCAATAAAAGTGGCATTTCCTGTTATAAATTGTTTGTTAATTGTGATTCCATTTACTCAGAAAGCATGGATAAAAACTGTGGTTATTCTCAGAACATGAGAAATGGCGAAGATTTTTTTCTTGCAGACAGCGCAACCACACATACAATACTTCATGATCAAAAGTATTTCTCAAGCTTAATACTTATAATAGTAGGGGTAACAACAATATCAGGACCTTCAGATGTAATTGAAGGCTTAGGGAAAGCCCAGATTATGTTACCAAATTGAACAATATTGTTCATACAGAATGCGTTGTATGCTACTCGTTCTACTTGAAATTTGTTGAGTTTTAAAGACATATGTTTAAATGGATACCACATTGAAATGAAAAGTGCAGAAAATGTGGAGTATCTATGCATTACCTCTAATGATACCCAGAAGCGTATATTGGAGAAGTTGCGTGGTTTGTTGAGTGAATTGTATTATACATACATAAGGACAATTGAATCACATAATGTCATAAACCAGAAGTTCATTGATTCAAAAGTTAGATGCTTTCGCATGACCGTCTGGGTCATCCAGGATCCACCATGATGCATATGATCATTACTAACTCTAATGGACATCCATTAGTGATCAGACATATTGCTATCACAAATGATAACCCTTGCAAAGCTTGTTCTCAAGGTAAGTTGGTAATTAGACCATCACAACTAAAGGTTGATGCTGAATCCCCATCATTTCTGGAAAGAATTCAAGGGATATTTGTGGGCCTATTCAACTATCTTGTGGACCATTTCGATATTTTATGATTTTGGTTGATGCATCTACCTGATGGTCACATGTTTGTCTCTTGTCTACTACGGAATGTAGCTTTTGTGAGACTTCTTGCTCAAATAACTAAATTACGAGCACAGTTCCAAGATTATCCCATTAAGTCAATCTGACTTGATAACGCTAGGTGAATTTACATCCCAAACCTTTGATGATTACTGCATGACATTGGACATTAATGTTGAACACACAGTTCCTCATGTCCATACTCAAAATGGTTTAGCAGAAGCATTGATGAAGCGGCTTCAGCTAACAGCTCACACTCTTGCTTATGAAAACCAAATTGCTAGTCTCTACATGAGGACATGCCATCTTACATGCTGCATCATTGGTTTGATTGAGACCTATAGCTAACCATCAATATTCCTCAATACAACTCGTGTTTGGACATCAGCCAAACCTTTGATGAGGTCCCAGTTTATGTGCCTATTGCACCGCCACAATGCACTAAAATGGGACCTCAGTGTAGACTGGAAATTTATGTGGTTTTGATTCACCATCCATCATTAGATATTTGGAACCCTTGACAGGTGATATGTTTACAGCTCGTTTTGCTGATTGTCACTTTGATGAGACAATCTTCCCATTGTTAGGGGGAGAAAAGACCGTTCCAGAAGAACGGAAAAAGCTGACATGGTTTGTTCCCACCTTGTCTCATTTTAATCCTCGCAGCATTCAATGTGAAAATGAAATGAGAATGATCGTTCATCTTCAAAGCATTGCCAATCAAATGTTAGATGCATTTAATGATGCTATGAAAGTGACAAAATTACATATACCAGCTGCAAATGCACTGCAAGAATTGATGTCCCTGTTGGACAAAATAAAGTGGCAGCAAATGATTCATCTGGTGTACGCCTGAAGCGTGGTAGACCCCTAGGTTCAAAAGATTCAACCCCTCGAAAGAGAAAGTCAAGGGCACAACTGAATCCAAATGAAATCATTCAAGAAGAGAAAATGAATGACAAATCCATAATTCATGATTTTGGACTTCAGAAAAAGAAAATGTCCTTAATGAGACACATATCCCTGAAGAGACAG